AAAAAAAAAAAAAAAAAAAAAAAAAAAAGATGTGATGTATGTATGATGTATATGATGTATGCGATGTATGTGTTCTCTATCTATCAACATCTAAACACGGAACCCTAACAATGATGTGATGTGAATGATCATTTATGAATCAGGACTAAGCACGAATCTGTATCAGTGATATAATGTGTGATGTGGACGACAAGTCCAACATCCTTTATGCAATAACCCGAAACCCTAAGAAAGGGATGATGTGTGTGAACTTCATCAATGATGTAATCTGTGTGATCTAGACGGCAAGTGCAGCTTTCATTATGCAAAAACATGTGGGACTGTCCCTATACCCATTGTCCGAAGAGAGCAGGGGCATTGATTACTTCCCTGCGCAAGGGAAGGATTGACCGCCTGCAAACTAATCCCTAACCAGCCCACCTCCCTCCCAGGGGGCAATCAGCACTCCGAAGTTGATTGATATTGCGGGCCGGGCAACACCAATCAACGTCGACTATCCTACTCCAATCCTGAGCCAGACAACGAGGATGAAGGGGGGGAAGGGGGGAGATTTGGTAAGCCTCTTATCTGTGTCAACCCCACTCCCCACCACGTCAGGATGCGTCTTCTCTCCCATCATGCTGATGCGCTCTGCCCCGCTGTTGCCGTGGTCGTCACTGTCGCCGTCATCGCCACTGCCGCCATGATCTTTATTGTTGTTGTTGTCATCCCCAATCCCCACCGCGTCCGCTTGGCAATGCGGCATCACTCCCATCGTGGCTATGATGACCTGAGATGCCCGGACACCGCTCTCAACCCTGCCGCCACCGTGGACGTCGTTGCTGTTGTCGTCATTGTTATTGTTGTTGTTGCTGTTGCCATGGTCGTCACTACCGCCATCATCTTCACTGCCGCCATCGTCATTGTTGTTGTCGCTGTCGCCCTTATTGTTGTTGGTATGGTTCACGCCGATATTATTGATGTTGTTGTTGTTGTCCTTGGTACTGTCGTCATTGCTGTTATTAATGTTGTTGTTACTGTTGCCATGGTCGTTGCCACCGTCATCATCTTCACTGCGGCCATCGTCATTGTTGTTGTCGCCGTCGCCGCTGTTGTTGTTGTTATTGTTGTTGTTGCTGTTGGTGTCGTTGACGCCGATGTTATTGATGCTGTTGTTGTTGTTGTTGTCCTTAGTATTGTTGGTGATGTCGCCGCAATTGTCTTCGCCGTCATCCAATCCTCCCTCCTCCCAGTCATCCGTGTCGCTCTTATCGCCCATCTCTCGCGTTCCCTGCCGAGCCTCTAGCTGGTTGTGTAGATTGCAGTTACAGGCCCTGTGTCATTTCAGCCTAAAACAGGGCCCTCCAGGCCCTGAGTCTTTTCAGCCTGAAACGGAGGGCCATTTTCAGGCCCTCATAAGATCGACCTGCCCTAAAACTCAGGCACCAGACCAGGGTTTTAGCACAGGCCATTTTGGGCCTGTTTTCAAGACAACCTTTGTTTGAGCTTCAACACCAGGGTCTGGCACGTTTTGGCATTGGCAAGAGCAGCCTTCTGGATGGGCCAGCACTACATAAGACTGGCCCGCCCTGCAGGCTGCAGGTACCTGCAGCGCCATAGCTCCAGCTTCGTCTTCGAGGTACCTGCAACACAGCGCCATCTTCACAGGTTAGTACCTGGCACATAGAGAGAGAGAGAGAGAGAGAGAGAGAGAGAGAGAGAGA